AAGAGAAGGAGAGGGAGTGAGAGGGGGGGAGAGAGAAAGAGAGAGAGAGATCAGTACTAGGGACCAGAGAGACAGAGACCAGAAAGAGATAGCAGAGAGAGAGATCAGTACGAGGGACCAGAGATGACGGGGACCAGAGAGACAGAGACCAGAAGGAGAGAGACCAGAGAGAGAGAGACCAGAGAGAGAGAGAGATCAGAGAGAGTGACTAGAGAGACAGAGACCAGAAAGAGAGAGACCAGAGAGAGAGAGAGAGACCAGTGAGAGATAGACCAGAAAGAGAGAGAGAGACCAGGGAAAGAGAGAGACCAGAGAGAGAAAGAGACCAGAAAAAGCGAGGGAGACCAGAGAGAGAGACCACTAAAAGTAAGTAATATTTCCAGGACATGATTCAGTTTATGTGGAGGAGATTTTAGATTTTTTCAGACATAAAACGTTTGAATCTCTTGGTTCATTCTCACATTGATATTTGTGATTAAAGGTCTATTTTTAGCTTTTTGACTTTTCTCTGCTTTAGACATCGTTACAGTGTTTTTCATACACATGCTCAAATTAGTTTTTCCATTGATAGCCTCAAGCTTTAGTGAGAGAGCGATTATTCTCTTTCATTCTCCAGAAGCAGCAAAACAACATCTATGACAAACACAATATTGATGATGTCATGAGCTGAGCCCGCCTCCAGGAGGTGATTGACAGGTGAGAAACCAAATCAGCAAATCAGCTCCTGCAACCTCACTCCCGAGTCCAGCGTATGGTCCTGATCCACCACATGGAGCTTTACGGTTTTTCTGCAACCGTCAGGGACTAAAAGTGTTGACATGAGAGAAGGAAATTAGTTTTTTGGTGTAAATATGTGACGACTATTTGGCCCAAAGACAAAGAATGAGGTGAATGTCACTTTTTTAAATCAGGATCTTCCTCCAAGATCCGTGCCAACAAAAATTACAATCTCACGATAACCGGAGACTTTTCTGCATTGACTTCACTGAAGACTGTTCCAGAACTACTTTTACCAAAAATAAAATAACGAGGAGCACAGATCTGTAAGAACAGTGAAAACACACATTTACTTTGGAATGTTCTGGAAACAGCAGTGAGTCCTGAGTGTCTCTGAAACTGTTGTTTTGTGTTTTACAATTGGTATTTTTCTTGCTTTTTTCTGCCTGAGATGTTGCTGCAGTTCAGTGTTGATGGTTTTACACTGGTCCAGACCAGAGCAGAGAGGATTCATGGTTTTACACTGGTCCAGACCAGAGCAGAGAGGATCCATGGTCTGAACAAGTGGATCAGGCAAAAATCCTCAGGAGGAATGGTAACTTTTTGAAAAATGGTAATGAACCATTCAGCAGTTTACTTTGGACCAGAGCAGAGAAAATGTGACCCGTCCTGCTCCACCCAGAGGCTGCTCCACCCAGAGGCTGCTCCACCCAGAGGCTGCTCCACCCAGAGGCTGCTCCACCCAGAGGCTACTCCACCCAGAGGCTGCTCGTCCCATAGGCTGCTCCATCCAGAGGCTGCTCCACCCAGAGGCTGCTCCACCCAGAGGCTGCTCCATCCAGAGGCTGCCCCACCCAGAGGCTGCCCCACCCAGAGGCTGCCCCACCCAGAGGCTGCTCCACCCAGAGGCTGCCCCACCCAGAGGCTGCTCCACCCAGAGGCTGCCCCACCCAGAGGCTGCTCCACCCAGAGGCTGCCCCACCTCTGCTGCTGTGACCTGAGGCTGTTTCTGTTGCAGTTTTTTTCGCTTTGGTGCATTTTTCACATCATTCTTCACATTTGCAGTTAGTGCATTTCTCAGAACAATTAGTGCAAACTGCAAAACCTTGTGGATAACCTCCAAAAGTGCATCACTTTCTCAAAATGAAAAGTCTCAAAAGCAAGTTTTCATGTCGATGAAACTGTCTGTGTCTCAGAATAATAAGTCCTGACAACATTGAGTATGAACAACAGTCACATGGTTTAGTCCTGTTTTCATTGTGACACTTTACTCTCTCTGTCTTTTCACTGTAAAAAGTCTCTCTTTTTCACAGCACTCAACACTTGTGAAATTATAGCAAAGTCTTGAAAGAGGTGACCTGTGTTCTCGACCCAGTGTCACACCTTATTTGTTTTTAACAGTAGTGTGAGTTAGATAGTTAGATAGATAGTCTCTATCTATCTGAGTCCAACCTCCAGAACACTGAGTCAAGTCAGCAGTTTCTCCTTTGAACAGATTACAAATACTTTTGTTCATGTATCAGTTACTTTCATACAATTCTCTGTGTTTTATAACATTATCATTTGCTTCTGTCCTGTCAGTCAGAATGAAACATACTTATGACTTCTGAATAGTCTTTCACTATAAAACCATTAGTCCTCATTTCATCACTATAGTATCACAAACAAAACTGTTGAACTACAGTGCCTTGCAAAAGTATTCGGCCCCCTTGAACCTTTCAACATTTTGCCACATTTCAGGCTTCAAACATAAAGATATAAAATTTTAATTTTTTGTCATGAATCAACAACAAGTGGGACACAATCGTGAAGTGGAATGAAAATTGTTGGATAATTTCAACTTTTTTAACAAATAAAAAACTGAAAAGTGGGGCGTGCAATATTATTCGGCCCCTTTACTTTCAGTGCAGCAAACTCACTCCAGAAGTTCAGTGAGGATCTTTGAATGATCCAATGTTGTCCTAAATGACTGATGATGATAAATAGAATGCACCTGTGTGTAATCAAGTCTCCGTATAAATGCACCTGCTCTTTGATAGTCTCAGGGTTCTGTTTAAAGCGCAGAGAGAACCATGAGACAAAGGAACACACCAGGCAGGTCTGAGATACTGTTGTGGAGAAGTTTAAAGCTGGATTTGTTATGGTATTGAGCTCCCTGTGAGCTCCTCACCCCCTCCCTCCTGTTCCTGCTACTGTGGGCGTGACCATTCCTGCTCTCTGTTCCTGGCTGGCCTGCACACCTGCTCCTCATCATGCATCAGCTCTGCATTTAAACCTGGGCATTTCTTCAGTCCTCTGCCAGATCGTCAGTCTACACCGTGAGGCTACACCCAAGGCTTTTGCTATTTTTGTGCTAGTTTTTGATATCCCCGTTTTGATCCTGTTTCTCTATGCTCACAGATTTTCGTGCCAGTTGCCAGCCCCCTCACCCGTATCTCCTCTGCCATTCCGCTCCAGTGTCCAAGCCAATTCCAGTTCCTGCTCACCTGTTCTACCTTCATTCAACTGTCAATAAATCCTGTTAACCGTCCGGTGCATTTGGGTTCAATCCTTTCGACATAACAGTACGATCTGGCCAAACATGGACCCAGCAACGACGGATCCGATGGAGCATACACTCTCCAGCCATGATTCGCTTCTCGCCGCCCATCATCAAATGCTTCAGAATCTCATGGGAGCACAAGGAACGCTTGGACAGCAGGTAACCCAGATTGGACAATTGGTGGAAGATTTGGCTAACAAGCTAGATGTTCGTTTGAGTATAAATCCAACTCCACCTAGTCAGAGTGCTGTCCCTTTGGTCCCATCTGCTACCCATGAGTCCCCCGTACCTCCTCCTGAGCCCTTCTGTGGTGAGGTCGGTAAATCTAAAGGTTTCCTCCTCCAATGTTCTCATGTATTTAACCAACGGCCTGAGACTTTTTCATCTGACCAAGCTAAGATATGTTTTTTTACTGGATTATTAAGGGGGCGAGCACTGGATTGGGCACATGCTGTACTCAATGCTAATGCTATGTCCTTTGCTATGTTCTTGGCCGAATTCAAGAAAGTTTTTGCCCACCCAGATATTGCTGCAGATGCTGCCAAGAGACTGTTAAACCTTCGCCAAGGTCAACGCAGTGTGGCAGAATATTCTATTTATTTTAGGATATTAGCAGCTGAATCTGGTTGGAATGATCAGGCACTCAGGGGAGCATATCAGTATGGGTTGAGTGAGACCATGAAGGACGAAATTGCCTTAAGAGATGAATGTGACTCTTTGGATGCCTTGATTTCTCTGTCCATTCGTTTAGACAACCGGTTACGGGAGAGGAGACGAGAGAGAAACATTAAGTTCTCCGGCGCACCTGTTGTTAATCCTGTCACTCCACCTGAATTCCGGTCTGTTCCCAGAGCATCGCAGCCTCAGCCGTTGCTTTCTGTCCCTCCTGAGGAACCCATGCAGCTTGGTCGGGCCCACCTGACTCTTGCCGAGCGCCAAAGAAGAATCCGCTCTGGTGAGTGCCTTTACTGTGGTCAATCGGGACATTTTCTTCGCACCTGTCCACTCTGCCCAAAAGACCAAGCTCGCCAGTAGGTGTGGGTGTATTGGTGAGCAAGAAACAAGACTACGATTACCCACGTTTACAAATTCAAGCCTCCCTTTGTTACGCTAACCAGACCATACCCCTACAAGCCTTAATTGATTCTGGAGGAGAACAATGTTTTTTGGATACCAATCTTGTCAAGCAAGTTGGCATTTCTCTGGAGGCACTCCGGAAACCTATTAGGATCAGCGCACTTAACCCTCTATGCCCTAGGGTCATTTTGGGGAATTTTCCTCGCCTGGTTTTCTTTGTGTATAATTGCTCATAAAACAGTCATCTAGTGATGCACAGTCAAGCTTTTTATTTTGTTTTTTTCAGGACAACCTGGGCTTTTAGAATATTCACACTGTACTAGTTTCCTATGCATGTAAGAAAAGTTATGAAGTCATAAAGACATGGAAAAAATTTAAACGGAAAATAAAGTTTTCAAACATTTATTGAAAAAACACAATGAACTTCAATAAACAACTTTTTTCACCATATAGACATTTTCTTTGGGGTCTTGGGGAAAATGTGTAAAAAAATTGAACTTGTAACTATATACATATTCACAAAATTGCAAAATTTGTGCAAAAAACCCAGACGTTTTTTATGCCAGATGCCAATCATGAAAGCAGTTTCTTTCTGTGACAAGGCAGAGGTACATCACAGCTTTTACACTTCCAGGGGGTGCATTGCCTTTTGTCTCGAGTGGTTCTACAGTGAATACAGCTTCTTCTCCCATATGAGGCCCGCCTGCTTGGGTCTTCCTGCTGTGATATTGGGACTGGCAAGTGTTCTGCTGGGGCTTTCACAGGAGGCACAGTCGCCGACACACCACACAGCTGGGCTGTCAGCTCCTCCAGAAAACATAGATGAGACATCGGGGTTTCTGCTTTTTCCTTACACAACTCTTTGTGTAAAATGAATGAATTTGTGGACGCTATATCCATGAAATGAAAAAATAAGGTCCGGTACCAGCGTTTGGTGTGGAGTGGCGAATGGTGTAGTACTGGATGAGTTGATCTGACAGATCAACTCCTCCCATATGCTTATTGTACTCAACAACTGGCCGAGGGCATGTAACATCCCGGGTGACCCATTTGCCGTCATTGTCTTTGAAGCGCCGTCTTACCGTTTCACCTTCGAAAGCCGAATGGATGGTGGAGCAGATGGAAACTTCACGGGAGTCCATCCACTTCACAAAAACCAGAGGGCCCTCTCTGATCCACCTCATTGTGCCCCTTTGTTCTTTCTTTTTCAAAGAGTTATTTTCAACGCGGGGACATCCTCTCCTGTTCTCCCTGTATGTGCCACAAGCACCGATGTTCATACTGAACAAGTCCATGAACAGTTTTGGGCTTGTGTAGAAATTGTCCACATACAATTCGTATCCGCCGCCCAGGAATGAGGAATTTACAAGTGAAATGACAGCATCGTATGCAAGTCCCACACCGGAGGAAAACTGGGACTTCCCCGTGTAAATAGCAAAGTCCACTGTATAGCCATTGCTGCTGTCTGCCAAGACAAAGAGTTTGAAACCCCACTTTGTCGGCTTGGCCTTCATATATTGCGTCATCCCTGTGTGGGCCTTTGTTGCCACCATCCTTTCATCAATGGCAATGTGCTGTCTTGGGTGGAAGTTTGTTTTGCATGCTGTCAGAATGGTGCCCAGAAGTGGTTTTAGTCTGAATAGTTTATCATGCTGGGGAGTTCCTTTCTTCAGGTCATTTTCAACATCCTGCTCCGGGTCGCTAATGTGGATGTTCCAGGAGATGATCTGGTACCGGTCTCGAAACATAACTTTGGCAGGAAAACCTACACTGAAGATGGAATTTTGTCTCCAATAATCCCTGACTTTACAGAGCTTTAGTAGAGAAAAATAAAACATAAGTCCAATACATTTGAATAGCTCTGTTTCATCCAGTGTCGTCCATTTGTATTTTTTCCCATTTGCAATGTTCTTTGCAGCCTGTTTGTTTGTGTTTGTGACGATATTGGCTACAGCACTTTTGTCCACAAACAATGAAAACAAATCCAATGGACTATATGGCGTGGTAGTAAGGAGCTGGTGTCCTGGTTTCCTTTTGGGTGTGAACTTTTTAGGCTGACAATTGGTGTCGGGATCCTGTTCACTGTTCCACCTGGCTTGATCAAGTGCAGGCCCGGGCCGTGGTGGAGATCTGCTGCGGTCTGCAGATCTGCTGCGGCCTGCAGATCTGCTGCGGCCTGCAGATCTGCTGCGGCCTGCAGATCTGCTGCGGCCTGTAGATCTGCTGCGGCCTGTAGATGCGCTTCTACGTGTCGTTTGGCCCCTTGTTGAAGAGGAAGTGGGGGAGGGGAGCAGTGAAGGTGTTGGAGGTGTGAAGTGGGGAACAAAGGCAGTGGAGGTGCTAGCCGAAGAAGTGGACGGAAGTGGAAACTCTTCACAGCTGAAAAATAAGTAAAACAGAAACTAAGTAAAACAAATGAAATAAAAAAACATGTGGTACATACATCATATTTCACTTTATCTATCATTGTCAATATAAATAATCAACACTTCATAGCTGTAAAATATGTAAAACAATAGAAACTAAGTAAAACAAATGAAAAAAAAACATGTGGTACATACATCATATCATTTTACTTTATCTATCATTGTCAATATAAATAATCAACACTTCATAGCTGTAAAATATGTAAAACAATAGAAACTAAGTAAAACAAACAAAACACTTACTCTTCAGCCGGATCCTGGCGATCACAATAATCAAACTCTTCATCAGTGTAAAAACTTTCTGGCTCAGACCCTGAATCTTCATCACTGGCGCAGATTAGATCAAGAGCTTCTTCAGTTGTAAAGAATTTCTTTGCCATTTTGAACAACTCTTTTGCGAAAAGAAACAGAGGATTTAGGTGCGTCTGTCTCTGGTGCGCGTCTGCTGTAAATAGAGGAGACGCGACTTCTCACCTCTGTGTGACTGAGAGCACAAGTGACCGAGAGCACAAGTGACCATTTCCGGTTCTTTTTGTGAAATAAAAAAATCAACAACAACGGGTAATAGGGCTTACAGTAACATGAATAACAGAGTTCACATTTTTCACAATCCCGATAAAATAAGTCTTTTACGCATCAGTAATTACTATCACAGCCGTAGTTTCGACCATAGAGACGAACCTGTATATGCGGAGGTATAATTATCACTCTCCCTGCTGATCTTTGTCACCGGCATGAGCAAAAACAGCGTTACGATTGGATTTTTCATCTCACATGACATCGCTCAAAGATCTGATTGGACACTGACTTTCCAATAGACATAGAATATCCTCTGTGCGTCACACGGACAATCCGGAACTAGTTTCATGGAGCCTGAAGTGTCTACTTCACGGGGAAAAAAAGAGTAAGTGGCTATGATATACCGTTCGCGAGTAAAGTGATGATTTGTAAAACATGACCGCGTGCATCGGCGCCGATGCACGCGGTCATATAGGGTTAATGGCTCCCTTCTGGCTCATGTTACGCATCAGACTGTTCCCATTCATGTTGTTCTTTCGGGAAACCACAATGAGTCTATTCGTTTTTATGTTTTTGATTCCCCTCAGTGTCCCCTAGTTTTGGGTTTTCCCTGGCTCAAAGTACACAATCCCTTAATTGATTGGTCGGAAGGGAAAATAAGTTGGAGCACTTTTTGTCACTCAACCTGTCTCCAGTCTGCTGTTCCACCCACAGATGGCGCACCAGAAACTAAATCGAAGCCTCCAGACCTGTCTTCTGTTCCTGCAGTCTATCATTTTCTGGGTGAGGTCTTCAGTAAAGAGAGGGCGCTGTCACTCCCTCCTCACAGGCCTTACGATTGTGCCATTGATCTTCTTCCGGGATCATCCCTTCCTGCTGGGCGTTTGTACAATCTGTCACGGCCTGAACGACAAGCTATGGAGGTGTATATCAAGGACTCTCTGGCAGCAGGTATCATTCGGCCCTCCTCCTCACCACTTGGAGCAGGGTTCTTTTTTGTGGAGAAGAAGGATAAAACTCTTCGCCCCTGTATTGATTTCCGGGGGCTCAATGAGATTACTGTTAAGAACAAATATCCATTGCCGTTAATCTCATCTGCATTTGAGCCTCTCCAGGGAGCTACAATCTTCACCAAATTGGATCTCCGGAACGCGTACCACCTGGTTCGCATAAAGAAGGGCGATGAATGGAAGACAGCCTTCAACACTCCGCTGGGCCATTTTGAATATTTGGTCATGCCCTTTGGCCTCACTAATGCGCCCGCTGTCTTCCAGTGTTTGGTTAATGACGTTTTAAGAAATTTTCTGAACAGATTTGTTTTTGTGTATCTTGATGATATCCTGATTTTTTTCCTGCAGTGAGGAGGAGCATGAATCCCATGTCCGCCTGGTTCTGGAACGCCTCTTGGAAAACAAGCTCTTTGTCAAAGCTGAGAAATGTGAATTCCACGTCAAGTCTGTCGGTTTCCTGGGTTACATTATTGAAGACGGGAAGGTGAGAGCTGATCCCAGCAAGATTTCTGCTGTTGCGGCCTGGCCAGCCCCAACTACCCGCAAACAACTCCAGCGCTTTCTGGGTTTTGCCAATTTCTACCGCCGCTTCATCAGGGACTACAGCAAAGTGGCAGCTCCACTGACACAACTGACCTCTCCCTCCATTCCTTTTTCTTGGACACCTGAAGCAGCAGCAGCCTTTGGTAACCTTAAGCAAAAGTTTGTTTCCGCACCAATCCTCATTCAGCCTGACCCTGCAAAGCAATTTGTAGTAGAAGTAGATGCTTCCGACCTGGGCGTGGGAGCAGTCCTCTCTCATTGGTCCGCAGACCAGAAGCTTCACCCCTGTGCTTTTTTCTCTAAGCGTCTCGCTCCTGCTGAGCGGAATTATGACGTCGGCAATAGGGAACTCCTTGCTGTTAAACTAGCCTTAGAGGAGTGGCGGCACTGGCTGGAAGGAGCTGAGCAACCTTTCATCGTTTGGACTGACCATAAGAACTTGGCTTATATTCGGGATGCCAAACGCTTGAATTCCAGACAGGCTCGCTGGGCGCTATTTTTTGGCCGGTTCAATTTCACATTGACTTATCGCCCGGGGTCGAAGAACCAGAAACCAGATGCCCTCTCCAGACTGTACTCAGTGACCCCATCTTCTCCTGAAGATATTCTGCCTGCATCGTGTGTTGTGGGAACATTGGTGTGGGAAGTAGAATCAGCAGTGCGAGCTGCCCAACAGGCCGATCCGGGTCCGGCTCAAGGACCTTCAGATAAACTCTATGTTCCTAAGAATGTCCGCTCTAAGGTTTTGCATTGGGGTCACAATTCACAGTTCTCTTGTCACCCAGGGTCCCAACGAACTATGTCTCATCTGCGCCGTCACTTCTGGTGGCCTTCGATGGAAGCCGATGTAAGAGAGTATGTTGCAGCCTGTTCGGTCTGTGCGCGTAGCAAAGCCTCTCATCAGCAGCCTGCGGGTAAGCTCCATCCTCTGCCAGTTCCTCATAGACCTTGGTCCCACATTGCTATAGATTTTGTTACGGGTTTGCCCCCTTCAGACGGAAACTCTGTTATTTTGACAATTGTTGACTGTTTTTCCAAAACTGCTCATTTTGTTGCTCTGCCTAAGCTTCCCACTGCCCGTGAGACTGCTGATCTTTTGGTCCAGCATGTTTTCCGTATCCATGGCATACCTGTGGACATAGTTTCAGACCGTGGGCCTCAGTTCACATCCCAGGTATGGAGATCTTTTTGCAAGGCTTTGGGAGCTAATGTTAGTCTTTCCTCTGGTTTCCACCCGCAGAGCAACGGCCAAACGGAACGCACTAATCAGGATTTGGAGGCAGCTTTACGTTGTGTGGTTGGCGGTAATCAAACCTCTTGGAGCGCTAGTCTGGTTTGGGTGGAGTACGCTCACAATTCCCTCATTTCTACTGCCACTGGCTTGTCGCCTTTTCAGTGCTCCCTTGGGTTCCAGCCACCTCTCTTCCCGTCTGATGAGGTGGACGTTGCTGTGCCGTCTGTGCAGGTGCACCTTAGACGCTGTCGTAAAGTATGGAGTGACACTCGCAAAGCACTTCTTCGTACCACCGAAAGGAACCGTGTCCTTGCTGACCGCCATCGTTCTTCTGCACCGCAGTATGCCCCAGGGCAGAAGGTATGGCTTTCGACGAGAAATTTACCCCTCAGGACTGAGTCGAGGAAGTTGTCCCCAAGGTACATCGGGCCTTTTGTTATCTTGTCACTGGTCGGTCCAGTGGCGGTGAAGCTGAAGCTGCCCAGGGCTCTGAGGATTCATCCTACTTTCCACGTGTCACAGCTCAAACCTGTCTCTGTCAGTGACTTGTCCCCGCCGGCCGTGCCCCCTCCTCCCCCCCGTCTTGTTGGTGATTTTCCAGCGTACACGGTCCGGCGCCTATTGGATGTTCGCCGTCGGGGCCGTGGTCTCCAGTACCTCGTGGACTGGGAGGGGTACGGGCCTGAGGAGCGGTGTTGGGTTTCCCGTCCCCTTATATTGGATTTGGATCTTGTTCGGGAGTTCCATCGGCTGCATCCAGATTTGCCTCGTCCACCGGGTGGTGTCCGTTAGTGGGGGGGTACTGTTATGGTATTGAGCTCCCTGTGAGCTCCTCACCCCCTCCATCCTGTTCCTGCTACTGTGGGCGTGACCATTCCTGCTCTCTGTTCCTGGCTGGCCTGCACACCTGCTCCTCATCATGCATCAGCTCTGCATTTAAACCTGGGCATTTCTTCAGTCCTCTGCCAGATCGTCAGTCTACACCGTGAGGCTACACCCAAGGCTTTTGCTATTTTTGTGCTAGTTTTTGATATCCCCGTTTTGATCCTGTTTCTCTATGCTCACAGATTTTCGTGCCAGTTGCCAGCCCCCTCACCCGTATCTCCTCTGCCATTCCGCTCCAGTGTCCAAGCCAATTCCAGTTCCTGCTCACCTGTTCTACCTTCATTCAACTGTCAATAAATCCTGTTAACCGTCCGGTGCATTTGGGTTCAATCCTTTCGACATAACAGGATTTGGATACCAAAAGGTTTCCCAAGCTTTAAACATCTCAAGGAGCACTGTGCAAGCAATTATATTGAAATGGAAGGAGTATCAGACCACTGCAAATCTACCAGGACCCGGCCGTCCCTCCAAACTTTCATCTCAAACAAGGAGAAGACTGATCAGAGATGCAGTCTAGAGGCCCATGATCACTCTGGATGAACTGCAGATAACTACAGCTGAGGTGGGGATGGTGTGTTCAGGGTGCTGTGTTGCTTTTACGCCAAACATATCGTTTTGCATTGTGGCCAAAAAGTTTGATTTTGGTTTCATCTGACCAGAGCACCTTCTTCCACATGTTTGGTGTGTCTCCCAGGTGGCTTGTGGCAATCGTTAAGAGACTTTTTATGGATATCTTTGAGAAATGGCTTTCTTCTTGCCACTCTTCCATAAAGGCCAGATTTGTGCAGTGCACGACTGATTGTTGTCCTATGGACAGACTCTCCCACCTCAGCTGTAGTTATCTGCAGTTCATCCAGAGTGATCATGGGCCTCTTGGCTGCATCTCTGATCAGTCTTCTCCTTGTTTGAGATGAAAGTTTGGAGGGACAGCCAGGTCTTGGTAGATTTGCAGTGGTCTGATACTCCTTCCATTTCAATATAATTGCTTACAGTGCTCCTTGAGATGTTTAAAGCTTGGGAAATCTTTTTGTATCCAAATCCGGCTTTAAATTTCTCCACAACAGTATCTCGGACCTGCCTGGTGTGTTCCTTTGTCTTCATGGTTCTCTCTGTGCTTTAAACAGAACCCTGAGACTATCAAAGAGCAGGTGCATTTATACGGAGACTTGATTACACACAGGTGCATTCTATTTATCATCATCAGTCATTTAGGACAACATTGGATCATTCAAAGATCCTCACTGAACTTCTGGACTGAGTTTGCTGCACTGAAAGTAAAGGGGCCGAATAATATTGCACGCCCCACTTTTCAGTTTTTTATTTCTTAAAATAAATAAATTTCGTTCCACTTCACGATTGTGTCCCACTTGTTGTTGATTCATGACAAAAAAATAAAATTTTATCTTTATGTTTGAAGCCTGAAATGTGGCGAAATGTTGAAAGGTTCAAGGGGGCCGAATACTTTCGCAAGGCACTGTAGTTCAAAATCTAAATCTGTCAAACTAATTTCATACTTTCCTTTATCTTTTTTTCCTGTAAATCTTTCCTAAATTGAACAATGTCTCTCAGGTGAATTTCAGCTTCACTCAAGAGGAGGTGTGTGTTTTATTGTTTACATTTGTCACAGTTCTACCAAAATTATATGTTATGTTTGTTCTGCGTAAATGACTGTATTTTTTTGCACAATGCTGTAGAATTGTAAAGAGCAAATGCAGTAAATATGTGAAAGACATACATATACATACTGTACACCCATACTGTACATACATACATACATACTGTACATACATACAGTACACATACATACATACATACTGTACACACATACTGTACATACATATACATACAGTACATAAATAATCTTTTCTGCTGCTGGTTCAAACATGGCTCCCCCTGCAGGCGCAGACGGGAACTTTACACATCTGTAAAGTCTCCTTTGAAAAGAGCAGAGTAGAGTAGTGTAGACTCTGGTAGAGTAGAATAAATAAGGGTAGAGTAGAGTAGAATAGAGTTGAGCAGATAGAGTAGAGTAGAGTGGTGTAGTGTAGGGTAAAGTAGGGTAGAGTAGAGTAGTGTAGTGTAGTGTAGAGTAAAGTAGAGTAGGGTAAAGTGGAGTGGAGTAGGGTAGGGTAGAGTAGAGTAGGGTAGGGTAGAGTAGTGTAGAGTAGAGCAAGGTAGAGTAGAGTAAAGTAGAGTAGGGTAGAGTAGAGTAGGGTAGAGTAGAGTAGTGTAGTGTATAGTGGAGAAGAGTAGGGCTGGTGGAAACAGGGCTAACATACTCTGATCCAGGCCTTAGGGTTGCCAGGTTGTTAGCCTTCTTTAAAAATAAACATTTTCTCGTCTGAAACATATTTTTCTCCGTCGCCGTCGTCGGGTCTTTTCAGTCCCGTCCTTTTTTATCGAGGCTTTGGGTCGTCATGGAGACAAGCTCGCAGCAGCAGTTTGTTGACAGACAATATAAAAAGCTTCATAAACGGAGGCAAGACGAGTGTTTGCAGCAAATGAAAATAATATTCATGTTCACAACTTTCCCAAACTTCACTCTGGTCCTGGCTCTTTAATATCACAGAGGATTAGGTTGTTTTTGCTTCGAAATCTGCACAAACACAGAAAACATGAGCTGGAGGTGAGTGTCCCCTGTGGAGGTCTTAAAGTAGGGGAGGGGCTGGACATTCAAGGCTGTTCTGAGCATCAGAATCAGCCGTGATGGAGCTGAAGTTGGCTGAATGACACTGTGAACTTGTGTTTATTATCTCAAAGACGACTAGAGTCGTGAAGCTCTAGACAATTGTTGTGGGCATCTGTCTATCACTCATCACAGAGATGGGAGCAAGGTCGGTAGGGGGAACCGGAGCACATGGAGGAAACCAGAGCACCCAGAGGAAACCAAAGCACCAGGAGAAAACACAGACACAGAGAGAACAAGCAAACTCCACAGAAATCGAACCTAGGGCCTTCTTCCTCAAGCTCTCCACTGCATATACATATTTATACAAACATTTGTATATATTAATACAAACATATTCGCTCTTCTTCATGTGTCGTAGTCCATCCCAAGTGTCACTTGCAGAAAAAACAGATACCTAGCTAGCCTGGCCTTATCCACCCGTACACTCCGCTCAATCATCTTTTCCCTGCATGTAACGTCTGGGTCTGGTCCCTGTGTTTGCAATTACGATCGCTTGAATTTCGACCAACCAATCAGAGAGCGCGGAAGGCAGGTGTTGTAGGTCGGTGCTGGTGACGTCAAGAGTTTGCGTCGAACGGGCAGGATGTGGTTCGGCAATGGCGAAAAATGCAATAGTAAAGTAATCCTGTCTGGTTCTATCAAGAAATTGAAGGAATGTTTAGCAAATGCTGGCAAAAATTGTGGCGTTACTCCCCACGGGCTCCGTTAGCAGCAAAGGAGATGGCTAGGCTAAATGCTAAATGCTAACGACTCACTTGGCCCATTACATACGTCACGATAAACTCAGATCCGTGACGAATGGGTTAACTTCTTTAAATCTGCAAAAGGAGTGAACCCCTCCCACCTGTTAACCGAGTCAATGAAGCACCACCAGACCTTAGTACGAAATGTAATATGTACTATGGTGTGGTACGACCAGGCTAATACCTAGGGATCTGAGGCAAATCTTTGGGGGGGAAAAGCATTCAGGCCAAATAGTGTTGTCACATATTTAGGACCAGTGGGGGCGGCTCCCGGCTCTGAAAGGTCCATGAGCATGCGTGAGATGTTCCCCGGGCGCTGTACCACTGCGATCAGGAAGGGTCAAATGCAGAGAATAAATTGCACCTTTAAAAGTCGAAAAGAGTGGGACCTTTAACTGAACATAAAGGTCCCTTGGACCTTGGATGTGGTGAATGTTGCTTGTGTCTGAGTTAGCATTAGCTCTGTTGATTCCTGACATGTTCAGAGCGCACACAGGGGCGGGCTCTAACCTGTCGGAGCAGTTGGACTACATGCTTTGTCGGTGTTCGGGGTAATAATCTGACGCACACAACATATACTTTTGTGTCACGTTCAGTCACGTTCAGTCACGTTCAGTCTGTTCTGGTTAGTTTAGACGAGGCTCCACTGCAGTCTGAGTATGGAGACCAGGAGTGATGAGAAGGAGCCTAGGACCAGGAGTGATGAGAAGGAGCCCAGGAGTGATGAGGAGGTGCCCAGGACCAGGAGTTATGAGGAGGCGCGCAGGATCCACATCAGCTGCTTTAACCCGCAGTACGACGACTGGGCGCCGCACTACGAACAGGTCACAACACAAACTTTAAAACTACCGTGTTCTCAGCAGCTTCACTCACACAATGGGTTTCTGTATCCCTACCCTACTCTACTCTACTCTACCCTACACTACCCTACACTACCCTACCCTACTCTACCCTACCCTACCCTACCCTACCCTACCCTACTCTACTCTACTCTACCCTACTCTACTCTACTCTACTCTACTCTGCCCTACCCTACCCTACCCAACCCTTCTCTACTCTAGTCTACTCTATTCTACCTTACCCTACTCTACCCTACTCTACTCTACTCTACTCTATTCTAGTCTACCCTACCCTACTCTACTCTACTCTACTCTACTCTACTCTACTCTACTCTACTCTAACCTACCCTAGCCTACTCTACCCTACTCTACTCTAGTCTACCCTACCCTACTCTACCCTTCTCTACTCTAGTCTACTCTATTCTACCTTACCCTACTGCACCCTACTCTACTCTACCCTACCCTAGCCTACTCTACTGTACTCTACCCTTCTCTACTCTACTCTACTTTACTCTACCCTACTCTACTCTTCTCTACTCTACTCTAGTCTACTCTATTCTACCTTACCCTACTCTACCCTACTCTACTCTATTCTAGTCTACCCTACCCTACTCTACTCTACTCTACCCTTCTCTACTCTACTCTAGTCTACTCTATTCTACCTTACCCTACTCTACTCTACTCTAGTCTACTATATTCTACCTTACACTACTCTACCCTACTCTACTCTACCCTACCCTACTCTACTCTACTGTACTCTACTGTACTCTACCCTTCTCTACTCTACTCTACTCTATTCTACCCTACTCTACTCTACTCTACTCTACCCTACCCTACCCTACTCTACTCTACCCTACTCTACTCTATTCCACCCTACTCTACTCTACCCTACTCTACTCTACCCTACTACAGGTATACTCTACTCTACTCTACCCTACTCTACTCTACTCTACCCTACTCTACTCTACTCTACTCTACCCTACCATACTCTACTTAACTCTACTGTATCCTACCCTACTCTACTCTACTCTACTCTACCATACTGTACTCCTCCAGAGGAAACACTGGGGAAACCAAAACAATACAACTCAGAGTAAAAAATGGATTTGTTCGAGTAAAAGGACCCAAGCTAAATAAATAACAAGAATAAAGAATAAAATGAAACTAAGTTTCTCTGAAAGTTAAATAGAATACATGTCTTGCCTGAGCCTGCTTTAGAAACATGAACAAAATCCACAACATGACACGGTCCGAGGAAACTGAAAAGATTTAAAGATAATGTAATAAATCACAGAATGTGTCTAGGAAAGTGTCAGCGTGCTGCTCTGTGTCGCCCCCTGTCGGACATCTCTGTAATGCAGTACCAGGGCCACGTGCATACTGTCAGCCTGCTCATCAAGCACTTCCGTGGGGACCCAGCTCAGGCTCGAGTCCTGGACGTGGCCTGTGGTACGGGACTTGTGGCCAAACAGGTCTGAACACACTCTGCCCTTTCTACAATCACTGTAGACTCAGGGCCAACCCATGTGTGTGTGTGTGTGTGTGTGTGTGTGTGTGTGTGTGTGTGTGTGTGTGTGTGTGTGTGTGTGTGTGTGTGTGTGTGTGTGTGTGTGTGTGTGTGTGTGTGTGTGCAGATGTCCCTCCTGGGCTTCCGTCACTTCGTGGGGGTAGATGCCAGTGAAGGGATGCTCAGAGAAGCTGAGCTCACACAGCTCTACGAGGACCTGCACCTGAGGACGCTGGGACAGCAGCCCCTGTCTGTGGGGGAGGGTACTGCACCATGTTGACAATGTTTACTCAGAACAGATCATGAAGCAGATCAGTTTTAGGTCCTGTACTTGCACTGCACAATTAATCACAATTATCAAATCGCAAATACTACAAATATTTAAGTTATTTGCAAACAGAACAACAGAACACAACTTCATTTGAATTTGTAAAAATGTCTCTTGATTTTAGTTCATGTCAAAGATTTTACTTTCTCCAGACTCTGGTTTATCTGGTCTCCCTCTCTATCCTCTTTCTAGTCTCTCTCCTGCCTCTCTCCATCCCCTGGTCTTTCTGGTCTATCTCTGGTCTCTCTGGTCTCTCTCCTACCTCTCTTTGGCCCTGGTCTTTCTGGTCCCTCTCCTGCCTCTCTTCGTCCTCTGGTATTTCAGGTCTCTCTCTGGCTCCTGGTCTCTCTGGTCTCTCTCCTGCCTCTCTCTGGCTCCTGGTCCCTCTGGCCTCTCTCTGGTCTCTCCGGCCTCTCTCTGGTCAGGTCAGGTACCCTTGCTTTAATACAGACCGGTCTCCATTGTGGTGTACGTGTCTCATGTGCAGAGGAGTTTGATGTGGTGACCGTTGTGGCCGGCCTCTATCCAGGCTTCATCCCCGTTAGCGCAGTGAGAGAGTTCTGGGACGCCACCAAACCAGGTAACACCAGTCACCAAATGATTTAGTTTATTTGAAATCTTTATGTAGGTTAAAGGAGCAGTATGTACAATTCTGGCCAAAAGTGGTGCTGCAGCCTCTCCCACTCTCCCTGACTCAGGTTGCCAGATATGCAGACGATTCCAGCTGGGACCATAACAGCTGAATAGACAAGAGTTTTGTCAACAACAAATCTATAACGAACAAATTTTTCACAAAGATAGAAATCCTGGTATTATTCCTTGTTTTGTCGTTAATGATTTGAGAATCATAACAAAAACTTTTTTAGTTCTGCGCCACATGGTACTTTACCAGTGAGATTAGCTCCCCGCGGTGAGTTCTGGGGCCCGGATCACAGACTTTCTGATTGGTGAAACGGTGGAGAGCGGGACAACAACATGAAAACAAAAACAAGATTTAGAGGCTGGAAAACTAATTTTGAAATTCAAATATCTCTGAACGACTGTTATCAGTTAAAGAAGAATTGGAAAAGAACAGGTTTTATGAATGTCTTTGGACAGATTAGAGCCCTTTAATGATGACTCGACATGAAAATCTTACATATTGCTACTTTAAGATCATGTTGAAGAAGGGAGAGACAAGAGAGAGAGAGAGAGAGAGAGAAGAGAGAGAGAGAATGTATGTACCAACAAGTTCTCACATTGATTGTTGCAGGAATTACAACAATCTCTTCTCATTAGAGTTAGCTCTATGAGAAGAGAACCTGAGATAACCAGAACACTTGCACCGTCCTTTATCGTACTCTTGTACACTGGTACTCTCTGCCTCACTCTGGTACCTGGGCTTGCAGCTGCTCTCTGCCTCACTCTGGTGCCTGGGCTTGCAGCTGCTCTCTCCATCACTCTGGTACCTGGACTTGCAGCTGCTCTCTCCATCACTCTGGTACCTGGACTTGCAGCTGCTCTCTCCATCACTCTGGTACCTGGACTTGCAGCTGATCTCTGCCTCACTCTGGTACCTGGAGTTGCAGCTGCTCTCTCCGTCACTCTGGTACCTGGACTTGCAGCTGCTCTCTCCATCACTCTGGTACCTGGACTTGCAGCTGCTCTCTGCCTCACCCTGGTACCTGGACTTGCAGCTGCTCTCTCCATCACTCTGGTACCTGGACTTGCAGCTGCTCTCTGCCTCACTCTGGTACCTGGACTTGCAGCTGCTCTCTCCCTCACCCTGGTACCTGGACTTGCAGCTGCTCTCTCCCTCACCCTGGTACCTGGACTTGCAGGTGGTCTGCTGTGCTTCTGCAGAGGCACGTACCTCCTGCCAGAGTACGTTTCTTACGACTCGCAGCTGGAGAAGGAGCTGAGGTCTCTGGAGGCCGGTGGTCTGAGCACTCGTGAGGCGGAGGAGAACATCCCACAGTACATCCTGAACTCTCAGAGGAAAGACCAGGACCCAGAGAACCCAGACTTCATCCCAGGCACGGTCTGTGTGTTCAGGAAGTCGGCAAAGAAAGGGACTACGATCATGTGACCTGGATATTCGGCCTCGTAAAACAATATTTTGCTTCTGGTGACGTTTTAACACTCACTGACCTTTGATGAATAATGTAACTATGTCCAAATGTCACTCTACCATATTTTTGTGGAGAGGCTCCTTTATTCAAGACAAAATAAATTGCTTTAATTTGCATTTGTCAGTCATCTCTTATTCACACGTATGTACCATGAACTCTGAGAGTCTGTCTCTGTCAGAAGAAGGTCTGATACTGGGTCGAGAACACAGGACAACCGGTCTGAAATGACTGCACTCAGGAGGAAACAGATCCAGTGACATCGCCAACACAGGGGCGGGCTCCAACCTGTCGGAGCAGTTGGAATACATTATTTTTCAGTGTGGCAAAAGAATCGGGGTGATAATCTGACGCACACGTCGTATACTGTACGTTCAGTCACGTTCAGTCTGTACTGGTTAGTTTAGACAAGGCTCCACTGCAGTCTGAGTATGGAGACCAGGAGTGAGGTGCCCAGGACCAGGAGTGATGAGGAGGTGCCCAGGACCAGGAGTTATGAGGAGGCGCCCAGGACCAGGAGTTATGAGGAGGCGCGCAGGATCCACATCAGCTGCTTTAACCCGCAGTACAACGACTGGGCGCCGCACTACGAACAGGTCACAACACAAACTTTAAAACTACCGTGTTCTCAGCAACTTCACTCACACAATGGGTTTCTGTATCCCTACTCTACTCTACTCTACTCTACTCTATTGTACTCTACTCTACTCTACTTTTCATACAATAAATGCAACACAAAGTGCTTTACAGTTTGGTTAAAACAACCCCACATGCTCCTGACCAGACTACTACAATGACACACAACAGACCAACTCCAAATCAACCACCAATCTCCATATGTTATTAAGTACACATATATACACAGGGGTGCACATAACTTTTTCAGTGAGGTACTCAGATGAGTCCCAGGACATGGTGTTTGGTACTCATTTGTCGCGCGGTTCTTACAGTGCCTTGCGAAAGTATTCGGCCCCCTTGAACCTTTCAACCTTTTGCCACATTTCAGGCTTCAAACATAAAGATATAAAAAATTATTTTTTGTCATGAATCAGCAACAAGTGGGACACAATCGTGAAGTGGAACAAAATTTATTGGATAATTTAAACGTTTTTAACAAATAAAAAACTGAAAAGTGGGGCGTGCAATATTATTCGGCCCCTTTACTTTCAGTGCAGCAAACTCCCTCCAGAAGTTCAGTGAGGATCTTTGAATGATCCAATGTTGTCCTAAATGACTGATGATGATAAATAGAATGTACCTGTGTGTAATCAAGTCTCCGTATAAATGCACTTGCTCTTTGATAGTCTCAGGGTTCTGTTTAAAGCGCAGAGAGAACCACGAAGACAAAGGAACACACCAGGCAGGTCCGAGATACTGTTGTGGAGAAGTTTAAAGCCGGATTTGGATACAAAAAGATTTCCCAAGCTTTAAACATCTCAAGGAGCACTGTGCAAGCAATTATATTGAAATGGAAGGAGTATCAGACCACTGCAAATCTACCAAGACCCGGCCGTCCCTCCAAACTTTCATCTCAAACAAGGAGAAGACTGATCAGAGATGCAGCCAAGAGGCCCATGATCGCTCTGGATGACCTGCAGATAACTACAGCTGAGGTGGGAGAGTCTGTCCATAGCACAACAATCAGTCGTGCACTGCACAAATCTGGCCTTTATGGAAGAGTGGCAAGAAGAAAGCCATTTCTCAAAGATATCCATAAAAAGTCTCGTTTAAAGTTTGCCACAAGCCACCTGGGAGACACACCAAACATGTGGAAGAAGGTGCTCTGGTCAGATGAAACCAAAATCAAACTTTTTGGCCACAATGCAAAACGATATGTTTGGCGTAAAAGCAACACAGCTCATCACCCTGAACACACCATCCCCACTGTCAAACATGGTGGTGGCAGCATCATAGTTTGGGCCTGCTTTTCTTCAGCAGGGACAGGGAAGATGGCTAAAATTGATGGGAAGATGGATGGAGCCAAATACAGGACCATTCTGGAAGAAAACCTGTTGGAGTCTGCAAAAGACCTGAGACTGGGACGGAGATTTATCTTCCAACAGGACAATGATCCAAAACATAAAGCCAAATCTACAATGGAATGGTTCACAAATAGACGTATCCAGGTGTTAGAATGGTCAAGTCAAAGTCCAGACCTGAATCCAATCGAGAATCTGTGGAAAGAGCTGAAGACTGCTGTTCACAAACGCTCTCCATCCAACCTCACTGAGCTCGAGCTGTTTTGCAAGGAAGAATGGGAAAGAATTCCAGTCTCTCGATGTGCAAAACTGATAGAGACATACCCCAAGCGACTTGCAGCTGTAATTGCAGCAAAAGGTGGCGCTACAAAGTATTAGCGCAAGGGGACCGAATAATATTGCACGCCCCATTTTTCAGTTTTTTATTTGTTAAAAAAGTTTAAATTATCCAATAAATTTCGTTCCACTTTACGTTTGTGTCCCACTTGTTGTTGATTCTTGACAAAAAATATATCTTTATGTTTGAAGCCTGAAATGTGGCGAAATGTTGAAAGGTTCAAGGGGGTCGAATACTTTCGCAAGGCACTGTACTTGCTTCTTTTTAATGCTGAAATTCAACGTCTACAGAATGATTGATATCTCGGCCTCTGGAGCAGATAGAAACATCTACAAAAGAATTTGAGAGCTCACACTTGTCAATAAAAATGCAGTGTATAATTATAATCCTTCAGTAGAATAATAAAAAGATTATACAACTTCCACACAGGGAAGGTAATAAAACAACCAATAATAATGTGGGACTAACGCATCTTTCTCAAAACAATAAGTCAAAAAGAGTTTGGCAATAAATTGGCACCAACTATGTGGAAAAAAATATTGAAATGCCCAAATAGTCAAATAATGACTCACAGGGCTCTTTCTTAAGTAAGTAAAATAAAATAAACAAGACTGTTATGGTTTGTTCTGTTTGACTTGTTCACAACATTTTACTTCTGTACAAAAATAACATGCATTTTCAATGCAAGCAAAAATTTAGGTACCTGCGCTTTAATTCAGTGAGACTTGGGGGAGAAGTGGGAGAGACGGGGAAGAGACGGGGAAGAGACTGCGGAGAGGCATGGGGGAGAGACGGGGGAGACAGGCAAGACCCGCACGTGCAATGTGCACGTAACGCGCACGTGTCTATGGTTCTGTACGCGCTTCTATGGTCCGCGCTCGGTCCATGACCACTCGCGTTCGCTGAGCTGTCAGAGCGGCCACAGTTTCTCCCGGGGTCAGAACGGAGGATGTTTTTCCACCACGGCCCACTATTTGAGAAGGACTGGTCTATGTGAAGTACGCAAAAGCGCATTCTAACTCAAGTGATAGTACGCATTTCTGATATTTGTCACGCATGCGTACCTGGGTACCACTTATGTGCACCCCTGTATATATATATACGCACACACACACAATTTTATTTTTTACAATTGTGACTGTATATACAGTCACAATCAGATTGATAAAATTGGTAAAACCATGAAGAGAGACATGGCAGGGTGCAGCTGAAGAAGCGCCATCAAAGGAGCCGTCTGCACAAGGAGCAGAGAGCCGCCTGCAGCCACAGGGGACAACACAGGACCCAGAGGAGAGAGGAGGCCCCAGAGGAAACACTGGGGATACTAAAAACAATACAACACAGAGTAAAACATTGATTTGTTCGAGTAAAAGGACTTAAGCACAATAAATGACAATGAAAAAGAATAAAAAAAACTAAGTTTCTCTAAAGGACTGTGATGATCCAGGACACTTTAAAGGTGCTATACCCGTTTCTGCAAGGTTTGAATGTTTAGCACCGCCCCCAACTCGCTCAATGGCTTCTCATTTCCCCTACGCTCTCATAACCAGTGTTGGGCACGTTACTTTGAAAAAGTAATTAGTTACAGTTACTAGTTACTTCTCCCAAAAAGTAACTGAGTTTCTAACGGAGTTACTCCACTATAAAAGTAACTAGTTACCAGTAAAAGTAACTATTGCGTTACTTTTTCGTTTTGTTCTGGAACATAATGTGCACTTGACGTGCGCATTTTTACCTTTAACCTCAGTGAGTCTGAAATATTGCCAATATTTCCATCTAGAAAAGTCTGTTTTGCTGCTGAAGTCCTGTTCACTCTTCATCTCTTTCTGTGCTGTAAGCACTAAACACCAACACCGGCCACTGTGAATGTGGAAACACCGGTGAAGCACTGACTTCAGTCCAATCAGATGAACATATATATCATATAAATCAACCTGACACTCTGGTACCTGGACTTGCAGCTGCTCTCTCCATCACTCTGGTACCTGGACTTGCAGCTCCTCTCTCCATCACTCTGGTACCTGGACTTGCAGCTGCTCTCTCCATCACTCTGGTACCTGGACTTGCAGCTGCTCTCTCCCTCACTCTGGTACCTGGACTTGCAGCTGCTCTCTCCATCACTCTGGTACCTGGACTTGCAGCTGCTCTCTCCCTCACTCTGGTACCTGGACTTGCAGGTGGTCTGCTGTGCTTCTGCAGAGGCACGTACCTCCTGCCAGAGTACGTTTCTTACGACTCGCAGCTGGAGAAGGAGCTGAGGTCTCTGGAGGCCGGTGGTCTGAGCACTCGTGAGGCGGAGGAGAACATCCCACAGTACATCCTGAACTCTCAGAGGAAAGACCAGGACCCAGAGAACCCAGACTTCATCCCAGGGACGGTCTGTGTGAATGAATGAATAGTTTTTATTATTGTGCCTTGCATACACACTGTATGCCCAGCCCTAGTGGGCTTATAAGACACCAATAACACCAACAAAAGCACCAGATTCCAGACAATAGGCACACTATACAATACATAAACTTATTTAAACAAACAAGTCTGCCGCCTCAACCAGGCTTTACAAACAAAAGAAGCCAATTTAAACACATTAGAAGTAAACAACCATTTCATCTTGTCGTCATCACTGATCCAGAACATTTCAGGCTTTTGAACAAACAATTCACCAAACAATACATTTCTAAGATCATCGTACTGTGGACTGTGTGTTCAGGAAGTCGGCAAAGAACTGGACTGCGATCATGTGACCTTTCTGGATTTAAAATAAACGGCTTTAAAGTGATTGTCTGGAGTTTGTCATAAAAAAAGAGAGAGAGAGGTACATGATTTGAAAAAAATGACCCAAGCTCCTCCCCCTTCCTTTCTGATTGGTCTACGCTAGAGTTTCGCTTTTCAGCCCGAGCCCGAGCAGGCCCGAGCCCGACCCGAGTACGGGCCGGGCTTGGGCCTCACTTCAGCAGTCGGGCCGTTCCGGGCTCGGGCTCCTTTTTATTTTTCCTTTTTTTATTTTTTTTAATCAATATTTTTTATTATTTATGATTTTCATACATAATGATATGCATATATGTATTTTTTAATAATAATGTCCGTTGATTGACAACAAGTTATTAAAAAAGTTGATATATTTATCACCGTAACCGGCGTGTCCTACAGCCGCAGCAAGCCGTGAACGCATCATCCCTGTTTTTCCTGTTGAATGCTACGGTCAACAGCGAACATAACAGAAATGGATCAGGTGGACGTACAAAACACATTCAGAAGTGGCTAAACTTGGTGAGTGCGTACAACAAGGGAAATCAGATGTGTCGGGCTTCTGTTGGGCTCGGGCCTATTATACAACCTTAATTGGTCGGGCTTATACGGGCTCGGGCTTAGTATTAGCGGGCTCGGGCCGGGTCGGGCTTGATTTTTCAGGCCCGAACGAAACTCTAGTCTACGCCTAAGTTTCAGTAACAATCAATCAACACATTTAACTGTTAATGGGAAAACACATTATACATATACATTATTAATAAACATGCACGGAGGTTTTCAGAAATATCTATTAAGGCTTTCATGACAAAAATATTGTTTCAATGCACCAAAAAAGCGATTGCGGTAACCCCGGAAGTAGCTATTAACATTAATTGTGCATTAAAGGACACTTCTGCAGAGGATCTGATTATGGATATAGGTTCAGTATATAAATGATTATGGATATAGGTTCAGTATATAAATGATTATGGATATAGGTTCAGTATGTAAATGATTATGGATATAGGTTCAGTATATAAATGATTATGGATATAGGTTCAGTATATAAAAGATTATGGATATAGGTTCAGTATGTAAATGATTATGGATATAGGTTCAGAATATAAATGATTATGGATATAGGTTCAGTATGTAAATGATTATGGATATAGGTTCATATATAAATGATTATGGATATAGGCTCAGTAAATACATGATTTCTGTGAGTTTCTCGTGCTCAAACTAAAATGCTTCCAAACATCAGTCTTAAAAGCAGCAGGTGTTTGAGCAAGCCTCGGCGATCCCGTCTAGTCCTCCCGGTTCTGTGCAGTGGACGAGCTCCCATGATGCTTTGCGCCACATACGCGTGTGTGGCTCTCATGCATGTGCACAGAGGGGCTCAGAACAGGAGTTAGAGCAGGAAGAAAAGGAGCAGAGTTTGTGGCTGTAAAGTGTGGATTTAAAGAAAACCGGAGGATTTAAGAAGAAAAAAAGTGGGGACACTAAAATCCCCACAAAATACGACCTTTATGAAAGCTGTAAGTTCTCTGTCAGGTTCTCTGTCAGCTGTTTTAGTTTACATTGAGTTCTATGGGAAAGATTTCTGGGTAGCCCACCAGAATTTAGTCTGGTTCAGTCTGCAGTACCGTAAGAATCCCCTGAGCACGTGTGTCCTTCAGCTCCAAGCTAATACCCTATCCACATATTAGAATAGATCCATGTGTTTGAGTGTTTTTAATTTTCCGCCATGTGTTTTCTCCAACGTGCAAAGCATCCTGGTCAATGTAGTTCAGCAGTACGGTCAGTTCCACATGAGCTGCTTTTCCTTTTGTTTTGTCACATCCTTCATAATTAAGTAAGTAAGTAAGTAATCTTTATTTATATACCGCCTTTCACAGACCAGAGTCTCAAAGCAGTTTACAATTGTTATTTTTGGGCACTTGTCCTCTCACTCCACACAGAGATTGGGAGCGGGGTCGCCGAACAGGAGGCGCATTAAAGATGAATATCATTAAATAACTTTAAGTTGTCGTTGTAAACCACAGACCACGATCTCACACTGCTCCAGGCGACAAACACAAACTGATGTGGATACAAATAAATACTTTCACACTCAAATTTAGACCTGCACTTTACCCAAGCCGCTCTTTGTGTCAAAGCAGATTGAAACGTGTGGAACATTTATCCTTTAAGCTGTGACCACCAGAGATCACAGTTTTGTTCACTTCATAACTGCGTAAGCTCCGGTCACGACCCTCGCGGTGAAGTGACGGTTGGAACATCTCCGCTTCCTCCGACAGAAGCATCCATGGCACGGTTTTGCATTGCTAATTCTGCGCTAACGGCAGCCGAATGCTAATGCGCCGCTCCGCTGGGAATCGGTTCAAGTTCACTCTGGATGTGGGCTGAGCGAGAGAACGCAGTCACACGTCTCTGTTCCACGTCCACACTCTGCTCCAGGTTCATTAAAGCTGAGGTACCTGACTTTCAAACTGTACAGACATTTAAATCCATGTCACTCGTCTCTGGCTCTGAAAATGTTTGCTGCTATCACTAGTTTGTGGGCTCTGTCACATCTTTTAAACAGCTTTTTCAGGAACAAAAATGAAAAATAGAACACAAGAGAGACTAGAGAGAGAGAGACAAGACAGAGAGAAGAGAAAGGCCAGAGAAAATGACCAGAGAGAAAGGCCAGTGACAGATCTGAGAGAGAAGAGAGCGAGAGAGAGACCAGGAAGAGGGACCAGAGAGAGACAAGAGAAAGACCAGAGAGAGCCCACTAGGAGACCAGAGAGACAGACCAGAGATTCCAGAGAGAGGGAACAGAGAGAGGCCAGGTAGAGAGACCAGAGTGAGAGAGAGAGACATGAAAGAGAGACCAGAGAGAGGCCAGGAAGAGAGAGCGAGAGAGACTAGAGACAGACCAGAGAGAGATGAGAGAGAGAGATCCCAGAGACAGACCAGAGAGAGATTATAGATTCCAGAGAGACCAGGAAGAGGGACCAAAGAAAGACCAGAGAGAGAGACCACAGAGAGACAGACCAGAAAGGACAGAGACAGACCAAAGAGATGAGAGAGAGACCAAAGAGAGACAGACCAGAGAGATGAAAGAGAGACCAAAGAAAGACCAGAGAGAGAGACCAAAGAGAGAGAGACCAGAGAAAGACCAGAGAGAGAGACGAGAGAAAGACCAGAGAGAGAGACCAAAGAGAGACAGACCAGAGAGATGAGAGAGAGAGAGACCAGGAAGAGAGACCAAAGAAAGACCAGAGAGAGAGACCAAAGAGAGACAGACCAGAGAGATGAAAGAGAGACCAAAGAAAGACCAGAGAGAGAGACAAAAGAGAGAGAGACCAAAGAAAGACCAGAGAGAGAGACCAAAGAGAAACAGACCAGAGAGATGAGAGAGAGAGAGACCAGGAAAAGAGACCAGAGAAGGAGAGAGACCATTCAAAAACTAGTGATAGAATCTGTTTTGGTTTTTCCTGGATATACAGTAGATTCATATTGTAGTAGAGTTTAAAGTCAGGTACCTCAGCTTTAATAGAACCTTGTGCAGTGTTTAGAGGCCGACATGGGGAGTCGTCCTGCACCGAAGTGTGACTGCATCTGTTGCTAAGACGGTTGCTAAGGTAAGCTGTTTTCCCTACGAATGAAGCCATTATCCATGTTTCCAGGTTGCCAGGGGGTAACTGTAATACACCCAGACTTCGTTCTCTTCTTCCAGCTCATCTGGGGGAATCCAGGGGCGTTCCCAGGGCACTGAGAGCCATCGTCCCAATGTGTGACAATCGACACTGACTTTGAGGCATAACTCAAAGACAAAGCAAGGATAAAAAAGGAAAGACAAACGAAAAACGAAAAAATAAAATATAACACATTTTCACATTCACCCCAAAAATATTTAAGTGGAGACTAAAAAATGAAAGTTTTTCTGATGAGACAAAATAACTGTCTTAGTTAATCCTGATATGGTTCCTATCTGGATTTACAAAGATACGATCACAACAAAACACTAGGATCACACAGAGCGATGAACTGCAAGGCCGTATCTGCAGGTGACAGCCAGACCCTGTCAGGCCTCTGAAACTGAGCAGGGGAGGTCCTGGTTAGTACCGTGATGGGAGACCTCTGGGAACAGTTTGGCTGTAAAGTGTCAAACTGTAGTTGTGTTCTTTGGCAAGACACTTCCCCCACATTAGAATGAGTCTGGTGTGTGTGTGAATGGTTGGTGGTGGTGGGAGGCCCTGATGGCCCAGTGTGCCCCAGGGCAGCTGAGGCTACAGTAGTTCTTTATCACCACTGTGTATGAGTAATAGAAGCGTTGTTGAGGGTCTTGAAAAGTGCTGTAAAAACGCTGTATTATTATCATCAATAATACCGGGCGGCAAGGTGGCTGAGTGGTTAGCACTCTCACCAAGAAGGTTCTGGGTTCGAATCCCGTTCGGAACAGGGCCTTTCTGAGTGGAGTTTGCATGTTCTCCCTGTGTCTGCGTAAGTTTGCTCCGGGTGCTCCGGTTTCCCCTACCACTAAAATTATGCTCACTAGGTTAAATCCTCCAGCTCTGGTCCTGACCAAGCCGACCATTAACACCTGGAGATGGGTTTCTGGGCGCTGTTACTACGGCGACCACTGCTCCTGACGTAAACCTTAGTTGCATCAGGATCTGGGTCAAAGTGCACATTTACATTTACATTAGTTTGCGCTTGATTGAGCTAGCGGGTTAGCATTGTCCATCCGTCTACAGTCTATGGTTTGTACCAGTTTCCAACATTAGCGCAGCACTAAACACAAACAAAGCATCAAGATTTGTTTTCCGAGTCCAAAAACACTTTATTTTGCAGCAAAAAGTTAATCCAAGAAAAAGCAATTTCAACTTTCTCCAAATCTAGTCTTTGATCTTATCCCAATCTGCGGAAAATGACTGCGACATTAGAGCCGCGGCGACCCTTCAAATGACTTTATCAAACGTAGATAAGGCCATCTCGGCGTTAATGCGTTTTTCCCGCGAGTTTTTGAGGCCGCGGCGTTTA